CACCCTGCATTTTCACATAGTCCATCTTTCACTTTTGTTGTTTGTTGGTTCTTGTGGCAACGCAACAACGAATGAGGTTGAATTCGTGGTGTTCCTCAAGGATTGATGCTCGTGATGGGGAGATTTCTGGGGATCTGATGTTAAGTGGAAGGCAACATATTGAATGTGATTAACTAGTGCCGCAAGAGTAGTAAGCCGAGATGGATTGTCACCGATTTGGGCTGAGATGGTGGATTTATGTGAGGGTATGATTGTTTCCTTTCATCATGTCTATCCAGATAGCAATAATATTAAGGATGATCGAGGTTGAAGGCTCGTTTCGTTTCTAAGGAGTTAATTGATATATGATTGCTTTGTAAACCCTTGTTTGAGTAATAAAATCCAATAATATTGTCATATATATATATATATATAACAAAAAATAATAATGCCCTAAAATGTAGATGAAGTCATGGCTAAGACGCATAAAATACATTAGAAAAGGTTTGGCTGCGATGACACACTTAGGACAAAAGCCCACTTTTGTTTTTTTTGGGTAATTCAGTGGGGAAGACATGCCCCTACCAAAGCTAGCTTTTTTTAAAGTATTAATAGGATGGTGTTAATGGTAGGAATAAAAATCACAACGTGGTAACTATGGTATGAGGCGCTACCACCACGACTATAGCCCCTAAATTTTGATAAAAACATTGTCCAATATCAAAAGGAGAGTGTTCCGGCATAAGAGAATCCTCCAACTGATCATCTCGATCTTCATACGAATGGAAATGAAGAAAAAAAAAAAAATCCAAATCCAAAAAATAGTGCATCTTGGAATAAATTATTGAACCGTCTATTTTCAAGATTTTCGAGTATTTTCTAATCGACTCGATCTAAACCTTTTTAAAAATTAAAAATTTTATAATTGAAGGATAAAAAGAGATTTGAAGCTTTCGTAAGGCTTTCAACGCTCAAATGACCTCCCTAAGTAAATTTGATAGGTGTGCCTTACTAAGAGGCAACTTTATACAAACCTCAAAGGTGAACAAGACTACCCATTTTATATTCACCAAAAATAAAAAATAAAAAAGACTACCCCATTTTACTGCAAACCAAAACTAGGGTTGAAACTAGACATTTTTATCACCTTCACGAAATGGATGGAGAAAGCAAGAAAGAAAAGGGGGTGGCTAAGGACTTGAAAAAGATGATAGGCAACAGATGTGACTCTTGATAGCCCTAAAGGCACCAACATGAGGTCCCTTTAATTGCGGTCCTAAAACCGCTTTGTCCACTCATTGGTCCCCAATATTCATCTCTTCAATGCTCTTTTTACTTTATAACGCGTGACCAATCTCAATAGCAATGGCCCACTTATTCGAGTGGGGCGGGTCCCTCCAATGACATCAAATTATGAAAAGAGATGAAAAAGAAGAAGTGGTCAATGGTTGATGAGACGTTCACCATGTTCTCCATCGCTCACATCTCACGGGTCCACACACTCATTTCCCTCTCTTCATCACACCAACGAAAAACTCTAAGAAAAGTATTTGGTGAGTTGTCTGATTCACACCGTATGGTCTCCGTCCAAATTACATCTCAATTATCTAAATCTAGAATTTGTTTTTTTCAAAATGTAAAGATATTATTTTTAAATTCATTTATTTTCCATTTATTTTAAATTTTAGTAGATGTAACATTTTTTTACCAAAAAGTAATACAGTGAGACTATTTAGTTTTGCTATTAGATTTCATATTTGATGGTCGTAAATAATTGCAACCTCCTCATACAAAAGATAAATAGTCTCAGTGTATACAATCTTTTTTCTGATATCCATTTTAGAGATGGACATTAGATAGACAGGGACCACCGTCACAAAAACCTCGTCAATAACTAACGGATTTTGTTAGCTTACACCACTTGATCTTTAAGTGCTCAACATTTTTGGACACTACAATATCCTTGAATTGTAATACAAAATTTTTCGAATAGGGACATTTTTGGTCATTTAGAAAGATAGAATGGATATTTTTATAAAAAATAATAGCTTTGTATTAGTAGTTAAAAATAATTAATGGCATTCTATATTGGTGATGTCATTGTCCAATATTGTTAATAACTTATTTTGTTTCTATTAAAAAATTTTAATTTACTTTTAATTAATTACTTAAAATACCCTTAAACAAAAAGTTACTATAAGATATAATGCCTAAAAATATTTAGCAATTTAAAGATCTACTCACAAGTGGTGTGTAGCCTATATATTATATTAAAAGGTTTTATAGCTGCGCAGGAGTATTTTGGAGATTCGTTACCTCGGGAAAAACCATCTTAGGACTTTAAATTTTTTGAGATACAATCTCCTCGACCGAAGTGACGAACTTAAAAGCATTACTGTTTTTTCATGCGCATGTTGCAAGTGCATAAAAAAAGACGACTCCTATTAAATTGGGCGCGCGTTTGGCCATGGGTTTGGGCGCGGGTTTGGCCGTGGGTTTGGGCTTGGGCTGTTGATTTTATAGCATTTGCTATATCTTAAAGGAAAATTGTTTCACGTGGGTGGGACCGCATTTCTACGTTCTACAAGTATAACGATAGATGCAAATTGGCATACTATCTAAAAACAATTGTAACTAACAGTCCAAATGTTTTTTTAATATAATTATTATTTTTAGTTTTTAATTTTTTTTTATTTTTATCTTTCATATTCATGATCTCCATGTTAAAGATTATATATTCTCTAAAAATTGGGATCAAATAATATTTTAAAAATATATTTATTGCCAAGCCCGTATTTCTACAATATGCGAGCTGGCCACATAGAAACCGTGTCCTATTTTAAATTCAATTCCTATTACCGAACTACTAAGAAGAAAAAAAAAAAAAATTTAGTCAAAAAAGTATTTTTTTTGTTTGAGACTAATTATTGCTATTCTGATTCGGATCCTAAAATTTCACCAAAAAAAAAAAAAAAATCTCCTACGTGGGTTATCTGCATGAGGAAATGAATATACAATATGCACCGGCAGAAAATGGTTTTCGAGCTCCTTTATTGTTGTTCACGGGTATGTAACACCCATTGAAGGCTTCCATGACCTATGTGGGGATGAAACATCATAAACATTCAAATTGATATTCTATTCATGTCCAGTAATGGATAAATTTTTTGTACTTTCCCGGTCATAAAAGAGGTCAATATTGACTGGAGATTCGGCTTTACATGATAACTTTTGCTGAGGAATAATGGATTTTAGATTAGTAACTTGAATTGATTTACTAAATAAATGCGAATTTCAAATTTGCGCGAGAAACCGAGGGTCTTGGCGCAATTAGCATTCCATGCCCTTCCCAAAAGAAGCAATATGGAACGAGATTTGGACTCGTAAAGTTGGATAAATGTTTTTCGGAAAAGTATAGTGGATAAGTTTAAAGCAGTCTCACCCGATGTTGCCATATTCGCTTTCTTCAGTTTTGTGAGAAAAATGTAACAATCCGGTACTTCAGTCGAAGATTTTGGATTTTTTTTAATTTAATATAAATAAATTAGATATTTAAATATAAAAATAATGAAAAAATTAAAAATCAACATTTCAAAAAAATATAAAAACTTTTATATAGATATTTCTTTGCTTACGCTGAAGAGGTTGAAGCTTCCGTCGAAACGGTCCAAATCTAACTGAAGCGGCAACACCAGGCTTCACTTCTCTTCAGTCTACGTCTAAAGTCAGCGACGCGCATCTAACAACAGTAGTCTCATTAACTTTTTTTAATTCATCAGATGCATCAGCCGTCTATAGAAAACCAAAAGTTCCTAGATTTTATTATTTGAGTGCCTACCATTATTAATAGGAGCAAGGAAGGGGTAAATCAGCGATTTAATGCGGTGCTTTAGAACTCGACCGAGTTGAATTGGATTTGGTTTAGGTACTTTGCCTCAGTATGTTGTAGACGTGAGTTCAGATGTAACCTCTGGCTGAATGCACATTACAATACTCAGGCGAGTACTACATTGACTCGCCACTCTCCAATAGTGACCCATTTTATATTACTGCAAAGAAAAATAACTGGGTGTCTGAAATTTACCTCCCGCATTTCCATTTTTGTTAAGACGGAGGCCCTAAATCCCTTTTTTATCTAAAATATTGGATAATGCTAGAAAATCACTAGATCTACACGTTGGAAACGTCAAATTTGAGAAAAAATCATTCGATTTCTTACATTCTCAACGAATTGTTTTTTTCTTCACCCAATTTAGAAAAACTTTATTTCTTGAATTTGATGGTCGATCTTTGGCAAAAATCCAACTCATTTATGGAAAATTTTGGTGCCTCATGTGGGCTCAGATAGGACTCGACCTGAACTCTCCCAAGTAACTTGTCTCAGATAAGAGCCACATACCAAGCTTATGCCAAATATCCGCACACTAATTCAAACCCATAGGCTTGGGTTGATTCGGCCAAGTACTTTACGGGGCCAAAAGCAGAACTGTTAAATAAAGCCCAAAACAACATAAAAAATCAAATATGCTTTAAAAAGTATAGAAAAATATATTTTAAAAAAATGATTTATAGTTGGGGACATTAAAAAATATCCAAGAAAAAAGAAAAGGAAATATGACAAGAGAAAAAACTAACCACTTTTTGTGTGAGAAATAATCTTTCTATGTATTACCTTGAATCAATAAGATTACAATACAATTGTGTATTTATAGAGAGGGTACAGCCAATACCTACTAAAATTATAGGATATAGTTTCTATATAGGTATAGCATACAATTGGAAACTGACATGTCTCAATATCCGGTTGCCATATTTGTTATATTACCATGTCTGTTCATACTCCCCCTCAAACTCGAGATTATTTGAAAGGAATCATGAAAAGTTTGGAAACAAACTGTGAGAAAAGAATATAGATGATGAAACTTAGTGAAGAAATCGGCGAGTTGTGTTGCGGTGGTCACATATGGTAAGGAAATTGTGCATAAGAGATGTTCTTGTCTAACATAGTGGCAATGGACTTCAACATGTTTCGCTCGCTCATGAAATTCCAGATTTTTAGAAATATAAATGGCACTCTTGTTCTCACAATAAAGTGGAGTAGGAGTTGAGATAGTGATATCTACGTCTGCAAGCAGCTAACATAGCCAAAATCTCAGTGGTGGTTTATGCCATAGCCTGGTATTCAGCTTCAGTAGTTGATTGAGCAATTTGTTTCTGTTTCTTGTTTTTCAAAGATATAAGAGAATCACCGAAGAAAATGTAGAATCATGTGGCAGATTTGTGATCACTCTGATTTCCTGCAAAATTGGAGTCTGTATATGAGTGAGGTAGAAGATGAGAAGAATAAGGCTTAGTGACGGGTATTCCTGATATAACGAATGATGTGCAAAACAGCAGCGAGATGTAAAAAACATGCGGCACTACAAAATTGACTAACCATATGTACTGCATAAGCAATATCAGGGAGTGAAATTGTCAGATATATCAGGTTTCCAACCAATTGCCTATGAAAGGTTGGGTTAGGAAGAGTTTTTTCGTCTGTAACTCGAAATTTGGCATTGACTTCAAGAGGGATATCAACTTTCTTTGTATCATTATGGAGTCGAGCTTGAGAACCAATCTCTGAAGCATATTTTAGCTGTGACAACAAATAGCCATGAGGAGAATAAGCAACTTCTAGTCCAAGGAAATACCACAAGAAACTCAAATCTTTTATTTCAAAGGTACTACTTAGCTTTTGTTTGATTTTATGAATTGTACTAATCATGTCGTCCACGTATAGTAACAAAAGAACCCGTCCTACAAAAGTTTCAGGCATAGAGTGCTAGGTCATAAAGACGTCTAACCGAAAGAACTTCATTACGAAATTTCTCAAACCAAGCACGAGGTGCTTGTTTAAGCCCGTATAAGGTTCGTCAAAGTTTACACATGTGTTTTTTGGAATCCACAATGCCAAGAGGTAACTTCATACATACTTCTGTATCAAGACCACCATTGATAAAAGAATTTTTGACATCGAGTTGATAGAGAGGCCATTGCTGAACAAAAGCTATTTACGATTAGTGTACGAACCGTAGTCAAATGAACGACAGGAGCAAAAGTTTATCCAAAGTCGATGCCATATTGCTGATTGTAACCTATTGCTACCAGGCAGGCATTGTATCGTTCTAGACTGTCATCTGCGTTAGTTTTAATTTTATATATCCATCGATAACCTACAACATTTTTTTCTTTCGGGAAAGGCGTCAGGTCCCAAGCATGTATACGCTCGAGAGTATTCAATTTATCAGTCATTGCTTGTTGCTACTCAAGTTGACTTGCAGCTTCTTTGTAAGTCTGAGGTTCAGAAAAAGAATGAATAGAGGCAAGGAATGCCTGGTGCTGAGGTAAGAAGGTTTCAAGTCATCAGTCATTGCTTTTTGAATGCTTATGCTCGAGAGCATTCAACTCATCAGTCTTTACTTGTTGCCACTCAAGTTAACTTGCAGTTTGTTGTAAGTTTGAGGTTGAGAAAAAAAATGAACAGAGGCAAGGAATGTTTGGTGCTGAGGTAAGATAGTTTCATAGTCAGTAAGTTGGGAAAGTGGAACAAATACCTAGGTGCTCTATCTAAGAGCACAGAGCGGTAGAGGATCAGTAGGTGCAGGGTCATGATCAAGACTGTCAGAAAGAAAGACACGGGTGGAATGACCAGAGGAATTAGGAATAGAATCAGAGAAGGGGACCAAGAAATAAAGGTCAGAGGGCGAGGATTATTTTTATTATCAAATAATGGAATGCGCTCAGAAAACACCACATGTTGGGATAACCAAAGTCTTTTGGTCACAGAGTCATAACCGTTTTAATGATCACGGTAACCGATAAAAAAGTATTTAACCATCTTTAGAGATAACTTATCTCTCTCAGTTGGGGATAATAAAACAAAGCAAGTGTAGTCAAATACACGTAGGAGGGAATAATCGAGTAATCGTGTAAACAATTTTTGCAAAAGTGTTTCGCCAGATAAAATGGAAGATTGAGCACTAGAGAGAGAGCGAGTACCAATTTACCTTCTTGCCTAGAGAGAGAGACCTGAGGAATACCCAAACTACTGGACCAGATTCAATCCACCATGAACCCAAGATCTTCGAGAGAGAACCAATCCACCTGCCTGCCCAGAGAGATAGAGATCCAAGGATCCCTATGAGACAATGACCCAAGGCATGAAGCAGACAGGCTTCAAGATCCCTAGAGAGAGAGAGTCAGGAAGTAGATATGCTTCAAGATCCCTAGAGAAAGAAAGTCATGAAGCAAGCGGGCTTCAAGATCCTAGAGAGAGAGAGTTCCATCCACAATGTGGCCAACAAAGCAAACCCAAGACCCTCACTTGAAGAGAAACCCTTCCCCCAAAATAGCATGAGAGAGAGAGATCAATAGCGAGAGATGAGGGAAAAACATTGTGTGAGAGAGAGAAAGTAATGAGTGGTCAGAGAGATATGAGGGAAAAATGGTGAGAGAGAGAAAGTAACAAGAGATAGATTGAGAGATTAGTAGATAAAGATTTGAGGGAAAAATAGCATGAGAGAGAGAAAGTGGAGAAGTCTGAGAGAGATTGGGAGAGATCTTAGAGATTGAGAGAAAAAATGGAGAACAGAGAAAATAGCGAGAGTATAGAAATCAAGAGAGAAGAGCAACAGTTTTAGAGAGACCAGAAAAGGAGCAGGGCACCAATGGCAGAGATTTTTGGGCCGAGGTGCTTACACAGAAAAACAGATTAAAGAGAGACCAGGGAGATTGAGATCAGAGAACCTTGCTCTGATACTATGTGAGAAATAATATTTCTTTGTATTATCTTGAATCAATAAGATTACCATACACTTGTGTATTTATAGAGAGGGTACAACCCACACTTGCTAAAACTATAGGATACGTATATAGGTATAGCATACAATTAGACATTGATAAATCTCAATATCCTGTTGTCATATCTGTTGTAGTTGTCATATCTGTTCACATTTTGCACATAAAATCCAATTTATATAAAACATTTTGTACAACAATCCTATATTTTCTACAATTTTTGGGGTTTTTCAGTATTCTTTATGTACCCTCAGCCGAACATAAAACTCGAGGCAATTCAACCTCGCCGAGGCAGAGTTACTCCGCCAAGTCCAAATCGGTGTCCGCGTAGACTCCGCTGAGTCTCGTATCACAAGAGCCACAAGATAATAGCAACAAGAGTTACAAGATAATGGTAAGAAAAGTGGGGTGGGCCACAGAACTTCATTAAAATGGTACCCCATATGGAAAAAGAAGTGGGTGCATTGAAGTAAGGTGGGGATGAGACGACAGTGACAATCTCTCTAACCACCGACGCTCTTTGCATGGGGACAAAATCCTGCTTCTCGAGGCTTGGGAATGCCCCTGTCCGTTTCCTCCTCCACTCTTATTTTCTCAGTTTCTCATGGGTTCACATTGTTACCACTTCCCCTTCTCTCATTAACGCTGTGGCAATAAAATCACAATCCACTTATGAACGTTAAAAAAAAAAAAAAGCGCTGCTGTTGTCATGTACTCCCAATGGTGAAATTTTAAGGAGAAAAATGTCACCTATTAATATCAACTTTTTCAAATTCGAGTCACGTACTCTGCCCACGCCTGTGCCGAATAATCAGCTACGTATTTGTATAACTTAAAAAATAAATGTTAAAAATATTTAAAAAATCAGAAAAAAGTAAAATAAGTAATCAAATAATTATTAAAATTTTATAAAATTCTAAAACTAAAAAGATAAGCTATTGAAAATTGGAAATCATCGTCGTCATCATCATTTGAGTCCTATTCCAATTATTTGGAGCCGGCTAAATAAATCATATTCCACCATTTCTCTCTATCAAAACCCATACCTTTAGTCAAACCATTCGTCACCATATTTTTTATCACCGGTGTTCTCATGTTCTTTGGAACCTTCTACTTGTCCTTTTCTCACTAGTGCCTAGTGCCATCCATAAATCATATTCCACCATTCCTCTCTATCAAAACCCATACCTTTAGTCAAACCATTGGTCACCATATCTTTTATCACTAGTGTTCTCCATGTCCTTTGGGGCATTCTAATTGCTCTTTTTAAATTTTTAAATATTTGAAAATATTCAAAAAAAAAATTGGAGCAGATAATAAGAAAACTTGTTAAGTCATATTTAAAAAAATCATATAAATCACATTAAAAAAGTGTTTCTAAATCATATATTGAAGATTTGTACAAACTTTTAATGTTTTTAGCGTCTTGAAACACCGATCCACGTTATTACATGTCACCATGACTATGTAAGAATGAATTCTTTTAACAACACCAGCCCATGTTATAGCGACTAAAGGACTCCTAAACCTTTTTTCTTTTATATTTTTTGAGTTTTCGAGTGTTTTGTTTAATCCAATGGTTTAAAAAACGGATCGGTGACCCGAATCGGGCACCCAAAAAACCGATTCGGATCGGCAAATCGGCGATTCGGATCGGGAATCGGGTGATTCGGTCAGAATAAAGCTTAAAAAAAATCCGAAAAAATTATTAAAATTCATTATAAATATTGTTTTTTAGGAATTCAATAAGAAATGAGGGTACTCCATTAAGAATTTTCATGTTTTTGAATGAATATGCGAATATTGATATGTTCTTTCCCTGCATGAACCGCCATTCAGCATTTAATTTACATCACACAAAAGGATAAACATAGAATTATCATGGAATAAGTATATCAACTTACATGGACTACAATAAAGCATAAAATTAGTAACATATGATCTAAAAATAAAATGATAGACGACGTTATTGTTCTTCTTGGTCACGCTGGTGCCATTGATTGAATTTGTTTAACAATTCATTGATTCGATCTAAAAACGAATCATCGATATTAGCAGGCGTCTGACTATTCCCAAATCCCTGAGTGTTAGTGTTTTGTTGTGTTCCCAATCCAAAATCCCCGAAGCTTGTCCATCTTTTATGCTCACCTACACTGTCGTGCTCATCCCTACACTGTTGCTGTTGAGGCTCGATATGTGAATAATATGGCTGGGATAGGGTGGCATCAGAATCATCATCTCTCTCATTTTCTCTTTGAATAATATGGATTAAAAAAAAAATTAACGAATTTTCAAAAAAATCGATCATGGATTAAAAAAAAAAAATCACAAATTTTCAAAAAATTCTTTCATGGATTACAAAAAAAAATTCGATCATGGATTAAAAAAAAAAAATACACAAATTTTCAAAAAATTCTATCATGGATTACAAAAAAAAATTCGATCATGGATTAAAAAAAAAATCACAAATTTTCAAAAAATTCAATCATGGATTACAAAAAATTCGATCATGGATTACAAAAAATTCGATCATGGATTGCAAAAAATTTGATCATGGATTACATAAAATTCGATCATGGATTACAAAAAAAAAAAAACATAAAAAAACAAAAAATTCCATCGTAGGATTACAAAAAAAGAAAAAAACATTTCGATTATGGATTAAAAAAAA